CAGTTATTCCAGTTAGTCAGTAACTCCGGGCTTAGATAACAAGCTCCAAATGATTTTTGGAGTTAGCAACACAGCAAGTAATTTCAAGGTTACATACCTAGTGGCTAGGCTGGCTTGCCTGGCTACACATACTTTTTGGAGTTAGGCAGTAACTCAAGGCTTAGATACCTAGTTTTTTCATGATTTTTGGAGTTATACTTAGCTGCAAATTATTTTTGGAGTTAGCCACCAGTAACTTTAGGCTCAGATACTTAGATTTTAAATGATTTTTGGAGTTAGCCAGTATCTCCACAATTCATATTTCAACTCAGTTAGTTTTGAATTACACAAGTTACTCAAGTGTATATTTTGGTTTGGAGTTAGACCTGTTAGACTTTGGAGGCGTCGCTCCATATTACTTACTACGTTCTACAGGCATGCAGGCCTGAATATTAGCGGCCGGTCACGGACATTGTCCGGTACAAATCCGCAATTTCAACCGTTTTGACAGGTACTATTTCGATTGCGTCGGTCACTTTGTCCTGTACATGGTTCGGCAAAAATCATTGTCCATTTTGGGACAAGGAACCTTAAACGATCGTCTTTTGAGAGCAATCGTGCATGTTGACACATGAGATTGACTAAAATAATTATTTTGCAAAGAATTGAAAGATTGCATAATACCACGCGTTGGTGTTGCGAGTTTCTCGCGATATCGAGTCCAGAATGCGAGTGGCGATGAAGCATGGCGCCATTGTAACAAACTAAAGTATAGTCATAGTTATTATTTGAGCATTTGGACTTTTTCATTTTTATAGAGACAGACATGATTTATTGATTTCATGACCTCATTCACTGACTTGACCACTTGAGTTCAATTATTTGTTTCTAAACTTTCTATAAATATAAATAAATAAATAAATGTTCCCAGTATTGGCACTTAATTTCTTCAACTGCAGCACTAGCTAGTCTAGCTACATGCCTGCATATGACTTTTGCATGTCCTGTTTACTATTAGTCACCATTATTTTAGTAATTAGTATGGAACCAAATATACCGTTGCTTGTTTTGGTGACCGATACATTTTATTTTGTGACAGGCACAATTTCATTGATGCTGGTCATTGTGATAGGCAGGGCACAAAAAATTATATTCAGGCCTGCAGGCATGTTGGCCACACCACCCCCAGGTTTCACATGCTTACGAATAATAGACCTGCATAAATATATTCATGTTCTCAATTTTATTTAAACATAGGATGACAGTACCCATGAGGATCAATGCTCTGATGGACAATATCAAGCACAAATGAGACATAAAATCCCATGCAAGGTGCTTACCATTCTAAAACTATACAAAACAATAAAATAGAACACAATACAAAACAGTACACTTAAACATCAAACACAATTATTTACTAAGTTCTATGACATGACCAGTCACGCAGTAATGACCGTGTACATGGCATTTCTATGTCGAACATTGTACCCTTGTGTTTATATGTGCTTCTAATGTTTCTTTTAAACTAGGAGAGGGCAGTGAGGGTGGTAGGAGGTAGAACTTCACAGGTATAGTTCCATATTTTAACTAGTCTGTTGAAATAGGACACTTTGAATGTGTTGGATTTACAGAAGGGGACTTTAAGAGTGAGGGAGGGATTTAGATTTTATTTTATTTTATGAACAGGTCCAGCAAGGGTGCAATGTCATTTATAGAAATATTTATATACCGGTAACGCATGAAGCATGACGGTTGACTGTGATTCTTTAAATATGACCATTTTGAAGATGTTTTTATCTCATTATATTACGCTGTTAAAACCACCCTGAAAACACATAGACTGCATGAAGGAAACCAAGTTATAATTTACAAGTAAATTTTTAATGGAAGATAATAAAATAGATATACTAGACTACCCTGTGATAAAGCGCCAATCAGTGTTCAGCATAATAAAAATCCGGAGTAAATGCAGCAGCCAGCGCCAATTCGGTGGACAGAATTGATATTAAGATATCACCGACTTTTATGTCCTGTATTTTGAGAAAGAAATTTGTCGCCTTTTGATAGATATACATTAATGCCAGAATTTTTTCTGTTCTCTTTTGGTTTACGTCAATTACGTGGTCTCTATGTAAAGATTTACTTGATTTCCAAACATGTTAAGATTTAGATTTCTGAATAGTAAAATGAACACAAACGTCAGTTACGACTGCTCACACTCATATGCATGTCACTGTTATATTAGTTTAAATATTTCGTACTTTATCTTTTCTTACAATGCTAATATGTTTATTTTGATCTTTTCTATTATCTTTGCTTTGTAAATGCAATGTGTTTTTTCTGTATAGGATGGTGATGATGCCACTCCATCGCGACAAGGACGAAGAGCGAAAGAGAAGAAAAACGTGGAGTCCAAGGAAGAGAAAGTGAGTTAACTTACATCAATTAATGCACCTGTCAACGCCCTGCTCTAGGGTACACCCCCAGGGAACATTATGACATTTTTGCCACAAATTTTGCTCTCAGGGTCACGGGGAATTTCAGAACTTCGCAATTTTGATTATGGCTGTTATTTTGACTTCAAAAATTTACCTGGAATTTGTTTTTGGAATGCCCAATTTGCAGTATGTTCAAATATTAATAATGTATGAGTCAAATGGACGTGTCGATATGTCCTTGTGGGGATGAACTCAAAAGGTTTGCGGAAAATGTTGGCGGGGGAGATAGGTATATATTTCCCTGAAAATATAAGGTCAAAAAAATTGTTTTTCCAAACCTGTTTGGGATAAAGGGAGGTAAAATACGTTATTCAGAATTTTTCGACCTCAACAGAGTTAGAATACAAAGCTCACAGGTTTTAGGTCGCATGGTGGCCCCTAGACTCTCATGCCTACCTCCATTCAAATGTTGGCTACCTCCACAAAAATAAAATATACAGACATTGGCCACACATGCTTACGAATAATAGACTTGCATAAATATATTCACGTTGTCTATTTTATTTAAACATAGGATGACAGTACCCATGAGGATCAATGCTCTAAAGAAGAGGGCAAAAACCGGAGCGTGAAGTCCTTCCGCTCTGTAATCCCGGGTGATCTAAATCGTAGTTTTTCAAACGAGGTAAATGGATCAATGGTGGATTCATCTGCAGTACCAACAGCGATTCTACCTGCGTTAACGGAAGTCGAGAAATCTGTTGCACTTCTTCGCTGTGGAAATGTGACTGGAACTGGCTTCCTGTTAACCAAAGATAAGCTTATAACATGCCACCATGTACATAATCAAATCGTCGCCCAAAGACACCCGGATGCCAAAATACTTGTCCATTTCGGAGATCCACAACAGCGTCAAATTTTACAAGCAGAAGTTGATGAGGAAAAACGACCTATTTATGGTATAAATTTGGACTATATTATCTACTGGATAAAGTATACTCCTGCTCATCTCAAACCTCTGGGCCATTTGGTAAGGTCATCCCTTCCTTCTAGTGGTCGCCCTGTTATTTTGATCGGCCATCCGGAAAGCAAGAGTAAAGTATTCGAAATTTGTCCTATCAAAGAACGTTGGGTTGAGACTCTTGTTGAGCGGACAAAGGATGCACATGAATATTGTCAACAACACCCGCAAGAATGCAAGTTAAGCGACGAGAATAAATCGTGTGTTCACAGTTACGAAGATCGTGTGCTGGAGAGCTACCACCGACACCAGTTAGCCTACGACACCAATTTTCTTGAAGGTTCCAGCGGCTCCCCGGTACTTAGCGTCGATGGCTATATTGTGGCTATGCATACCCGAGGATACCCATTTTCCCGGGGTTTCGAAAGAGTTAGCCTAATGGAGTTTGGGACAACATTCGCTTCTATATACCAAGATGTGAAAGACCGGTACAGCTCGTGGTTAGCAAATCTTCTGTTTCCTAACATAAATTCGTGAAAGTAAACACTGAATGTTACAATGGTGCGAGTGCGGAATGCGATTGGTGATTTGTTGGAATGTTTTTAGGTCGAGACTTGTATAATTTGATGTACAGTACAGCACAAGGAGACGTACGGAACGTGGCGGTGACAGTAGAGCGCCTGTGGTATCATGGCATTTGATACCAAGTTTTAAATTATTGAATTAATTAACTAGAAATCCTAAATAATATATGCAAAGCATTAAATACAGGTAACATGATGTAAAGTCAGGATGTTTGATACTGATAGGTATAACCGCTGAACAGAACATATTCTGCTCCAAAATTCAATTCAAATCTGGTGTTCATGATTGATAGTGTAAACTTCTCTATTCTATTTATAGATAGATATTTATTTTTCCATTATACAGTTACAGTTTTGATAAAGTATAATTCAATTTAATAAAGACACAAATTTATCGCGTGTTTACCTCCCAGCCGTCAATAGAATTTCACTTAGTACCTGACAAGCCGAAAATTATGGTGAGCACAGATTTGTGTGTACAGTAGATAAAACGGGAAAACTGTTGCGATTAGCCCAGGCCACTGAGGCCAGGCTTCGTACAAAACTTGAAAATCCTTAGAAGTCCTTGAATTTGAAAACAAAAATTCAAGGCATTGCCGGATTCTTGAAAGTTCTTGAGTTTATAAAAAAGTGCTTGAAAGTTCTTCAATTCTTCTTTCTTTAGAGTTTAGTGGATATTATCTGAAATTGTTTGACGTTAGGAATTGGACATTTTGTAATTTAATTGTAAATTGATTTTTTCATGTCTTACAAAGGCTGTTGACGTTTGAACAGTTTGACGTCACTTTTTACTGATTTCTAACGCCGCCTTTTCAACCCTTCAGTCCTTGAATTTCTTGATACATGACCTTGAAAGTCCTTGAAAAGTCCTTGAATTGAACTCTTCCTGACCTGCACGAACCCATCCTGCCAGGGACCAAAAGTTGCATTTTTCGCATCTGTTCCTGGTTAGGTCTAATAAATGTATATAAATTTCCACTCGATAATTTCCATCTACAAGACTTCAACTAACGAGTAACGTTAATTATGCATGACGGCTGTATAAGTTCAAGTGTAATTTTTAGTGTTCATATTTTGCGAATTTGTGATGTATTTAATTTAGCCATTATGGGACAATTCATTTTATTAATGGAAAACGAGAACATATTAACTGATTAATAATTGTGGAATATAGTTGTTAAAAATGTACAATACTATAGAGGGCCGTAGGTAACCCCTAGTGACTGGGGGTGCGAAAAATTTCCAAATAGGTCTCCAAATTTCCAAATAACATTTTTCCAAATGCTTATTGTGCGAATGACTGTTCAAAAATATTAGTCTGTATTTCCGAATACATATGTCCAAATTTTCCAAAAATGAGAAGTTCTCAAATCTTGGGGTCCCCCTACAGTGCGGCCCTGATACTATAGAGGTATTGATAATAAAAGTAAATTCAACAGCTCTTTTGATTGTGAATAACATTTATTACTTTGAATCTACAATAACATACATCTTTTACAGTGCCGTGTAAATTTCTATTTTATTTTCTTGGCAGATTGCTGTGGACCCTGTCATACCACAGATTTAGATTCTACAAAGATAAAATATATAATAAGTTTTTTCTAAATTGACATGGCGATAAATAATATTCAACGTTGGAGAGAAATAGTTACACGCGCGTTTCTCTTAGTTGCTGTTTACTCCAAGCATCATTCCATTCGTTCGAGGATATTTCTGATCTTGGACAGTGATGTAAAGGGTTTCCAAAAATCTTGTTAGATTTACTCATTGGTCTGTGATTCGCGTTAATATTATTTGCTATGCTTATGTGTTTTTACAAAATCATAGTTAATAGAATATAGGTGGTTTGGAAACTTATTAGAATAACAATATAACTATTATCTATGTTAGTCAACGTTTATTCATAAGTATGGTCCTTCGCCGTCACGTGTGTATTGTATTTTTTGCCAAATCCACCAATAGTAATTTACCCTATAGTTCGAGTCACCGATAGGTAACTTTCCTAACTGAACATTGCTACTGGTTAGTTAGCCTGCTCACAAACGTTGTAGTTCTTACGCCAAGCGACGAAAGTATTTCGTCGCTTGGCGTAAGAACTACAACGTCTGTGAGCAGGCTACTGGTTAGTTGGACAAAAATAATATACACACGTGACGGTGAAGGACCATATTGATGAATAAACGTAGACTAACATAGATAATGGTTATATTGTTATTCTAATGAGTTTCCAAACCATCTATTCTATTAACTATGACAAAATCAAGAATTCTTCTCTGCAATAAGCCTCCTTCAAACGTGCGGTTATTAACATGCATGAATCTTTTCAGTGGTGGATTTATAGGGGGTGGTCTTGGTCAACCGGGGTGCAAATCAATACATTTATCTTACTTTTAAATGTTTGAGGTATTCAAAGTTTGTTATCAGTTTTAGACTAACTTAAGTTTTGGCATTCAAGGCGGCACCACAACACTAGTTTGATACTTTGATTGAGTAAAACAAATTCTTAATTTTGCTGCAAACGTTTAAAATAAGTATTTGATGATGAAAATAAAAATTACAAAAGCAATCAAATGTAAAAAAAATTCCATTCTCTCTTTCACACAATCACAGTATCAAGAAAATCGGGGATATATATATTGTACAGTATAACTGTCAAATTATCTTTATTCAATATATCTGTATATTGTTAGCACGAAACTACTATATGTACACTTTCATGACAGTATGCTGGTTGGTGCTGAGTTCGGTCACTTAATTCGGTGTGCTTGGCTGTTCGCCAAGCATCTCCTAAAAAAACCTTGCTGGATCCACCACTGAATCTTTTCAGATGCATTAAAACTGTTCCCCTCGGAAATATTACATCTTTCCTTGCATCGATATACTCTTACCACTTTCCCTTGCCGTTTCCTTGGTTGCCATTTCCTCCATTCCCGTTTCCTTGGTTACCATTTCCTCTGTTTCCACGTCCTTTATTTCCATTTCCTTGCACAAACTCGTCAATGTCCCGTTTCGGAGGCTCGCTGCATCTATACGTGACCGTCATCTCACTGTCGTTCAGATAACCATTTCTTTTGACCTGACAATGACCACCATTACCTTTATTGATGTTTTGAATGTTCTCCTGGCTACATTCCCAGTTGCATGAAACCCTGTCCACGCTTTGTCCACTAGCCAATGAAATGTCGATAATTTCTGGAACGGCGTCCTTGTTGTCGCATTTCATGTTAATTGTTCCTTTTTTCTTCGAAACTACATGATAATATATATTCATATATGTATTCTTTTCATATATGTATTCTTTTCATATATGTATTCTTTGACATGACATCACTGCGAGTCATTAGGCGCCATCTTGGTTGATTTTAAACTTTTGTTAAGCCTTTTACAGCGAAGTAGTTGAGTTAATTTAATATTTTCTGGGGTTTGGGTGTTTTTTTTTTGTGTTGGTGTAATGTACTCGGGTGAATATGATGCTTGTGAAGTTGCTCTGAGTGTATATCCAAACCGGGTAAGCTTGAAAAATATGCCCGGCCACCGCGGCCAGGCATATTTTTCAAATTTTCTGATTTGTTTTGAAAACATGTTACTGTATTATGGATAGTTTACGGTCTTTGGCTCAATACGACAAAGAATGAAGAATATGAATTTTATAGTTGCCACGTGTATTTTAAAAATCAACCAATATGGCGTCGCTTGCAAACGAGCAATTTGGAATATATGAAAATTTTGTGGGACGTATGAAACTGTTGAATTTAAAGTGGTGACCGCATTTGAGATGTCCGTATTAGAGACGTGTCTGTATTAGAGAGTTGTCTGTATTAGAGAGGTGACTGCATTAGAGAGGTGTCCGTATTAGAGAGGTGTCTGTATTAGAGAGTTGTCTGTATTAGAGAGGTGACTGTATTAGAGAGGTGTCCGTATTAGAGACGTGTCTGTATTAGAGAGTTGTCTGTATTAGAGAGGTGTCCGTATTAGAGAGGTGTCCGTATTAGAGAGGTGTCTGTATTAAAGAGGTGTCTGTATTATAGAAGTGTCCGTATTAGCGAGATGTTCGTATTAGAGAGATATCTGTATTAGAGAGATGTCCGTATTAGAGAGACGTCTGTATGAGAGAGGTGTTTATATTAGAGAGGTGTCTGTATTAGAGGGATGACTGTATTAGAGAGGTGTCAGTATTAGCGAGATGTCTGTATTAGAGAGGTGCTCTTATTAGAGAGACGTCTGTATGAGAGAGGTGTTTATATTAGAGAGGTGTCTGTATTAGAGAGATGATATGTCCGTGTTGGAGAAGTGTATGTACAAGAGAGATTCCATATCAGAGAAAGATCCGTATTAGAGGAGAACTGTAGATGAATACATACTACTTACTAGTTTTCACGTTTTGGGAAGGGTCTCCCAGGCTCTTCCTACAATCGAACGTGACAATTTTATCCATCTGATCAACGATGCCATCTTGAGGCAACGCCTGCATAGACACGTTGCATCTTGCCGGCTTATCATCAGATTGCACCAAGGACGCAAAACATTCCTCGTTCGTAAGTTTCTCGATGTTTGGCGCCAGAGAACTGGCGATTAGGACATCAGAGCCATTCAAGAGTGTTACGCCATGTATCTCGATGTGTTTGTGTCTCACAAAAGGACATTCCAAAGTCATAGGGAGGACGAGAGCCTGTTCTGAAAAAGTGAAACATGACAAATTAGAGAGCACTTGGAGACTGCATATCTCCGCCAACGAATTACGTTATGTATCATGCATTACTCTATGGTTTAAGTCTACCCGGCAAAGCATTTCCTATCCAGTTTTCATACAAAAAATTTAACCAAAATTTAATCTGCTTGTTCAATGTTGACTATACGTCTGATTGTAAATAGAGTGTTTGCACTCATTCCCCAGGGGCCAATTCAACAAAAGCCATGGCGGCCATGTTGGTATTCCAGACAAAAGAGTCTAACCAAGATTCTTTTGAATTGGAACACCAACATGGCTGTGACGTCGAAAACTTCTACAGTTTAAAATCTGTATTCAATATTTCGAATATCCAGTGATGTTATCATCAGAGTCCAGTGATGTCGTCATCAGATATCCAGTGATGTCATCATCAGATCTCCAGTGATGTCGTCATCAGATATCCAGTGATGTCATCATCAGATCTCCAGTGATGACATCATCAGATATTGATGTCGTCATCAGATGTCCAGTGATGTCATCATCAGATAAGGTTAATGTAGTTCTGGCTCAATAAAATAATTGTTACTTAAAATTCCAGGGCTGAGTAGCTTCCTCAAATGTCGAAGGCGAAGTTTTCTTAATCTTATCTGGATGTATAGTCTCCATCGCAGACGATATAAGAGGGGACTTATGTGGATGACGAATTAAGTTAACTTATTACCAATGGCAAATGATGAAATTCTAAAAGTCGCTTTCACTTACGAGTTTCAAAAACATTCTCACTAGAAGGCACAAGAATATCTTGAGAGTTCACCGACAACACTGTTAGTGCCACAAGCAAGCTTGAAAGACCCTTGTTCATTTTCTATAAATTAGAGAAAAACAAACTTGCATTAAACTACCTTGCTTTATTCTCCGATCCAAATTCGCGTTATCGATGTTTAATCTTCATATTTGCAGTGGCGAGCTATCAACAGCTTATGCTATACAAATTTTTAAAGATTTGCATTATTCAAACCATTCGAAAACTCGTGTATAGGCCTATAATTGTCTTTAACTATTCGGATGTAAGTTTAGCATAGCATGACCATATTATATTATATTTGCCATGACCAGCTTTGCCACTGCATGTTTGGCAGAAATGGACCGCAGCATTGAAATCGTCATGCTCAAATTAGTCTATACCGAAAATTTCATGATATTTGGACATTCAGAGCGCGAGCTACGGCGTTTTGAAACTTTTATTTTTTACTCATTCATTTGAGTGGAATTTCCGCTGTATTCAAATGACAAGTATAAAAACGAAATTTTTCAAAACGCCGTGACTCGCGCCCTGAACGTCCAAACATCATGAAATGTTCGGTATAAACCAATTTGCGCATGAAGATTTCAATGCTGGGGTCCATTTTTGGCACAGGTCTGTATAGATAGTAAGATGAAAATTGGATTTTGTCGGCTCGGATAATTGAACATCATGAAAATTAATGAAAACATCTAAATGAAAATTTATCTTGATAATAATGTTATTTCTTCCCGTTCTTCTTTGTTGAGAAACTTTACGGTCAGTAGAATACTACCTACACTGGACTGTTTGAGATATATTTTTCAGGCCCGGTAGTTCTGACACAAACCACGACAGCTTATTGTGATTTGTGAATAGAACAATAGTACAATACCTATATACACTGCCAGGGTTAGTTACTATGCCGTGGCTATATAAAATACGTCTGTTTTCAGCAAACCATATATAACTAAGATATTATATAGTTTTCAGGTAGTTCAGACACAAACCGTACGACAACTTATTGTAGAATACTACCTAAACTGGATCACCACGTTTGAGATATCTTCTTCAGGTAGTTCAGACATAAACCACGACAGCTTATTATAGAATACTACTTACACTGGACCACCACGTTTAAGACATCTTTTTCAGGTAGTTCAGACACAACCAACGGCCGCCTATCGTATAGACTACCTACACTGGATCACGACGTTTATAAGATATCAATTTGATAACGCCGGTTAGAAAACAATAATGTGCATTTCGGTCAATATTTGACATTACCTTAACTAGCAATATGACGGTCCAGGCGAAAATACACAATTTCAACGACTTTATTCACACTCACTGAAATACTGCATGGACCAAATAAAACTCGCCTTTCGAAAACTGATATTTTATTTGTTCATGTAGCGGTGAAATTGGTTTTATTCAATTAATGTATTATTAAATTTCGTTGCAAACCAATTAAATATCAAAATTAAAAATCAAGAAGCATAAAAATAAAAATTTGCATGACACTTAAATCGATCAATATGGGCAAGATTACTTTATAATTGCTTTTTGATAAATTAAAATGACGCAATGTGAGAATATTTAGTATATAACATCTATATTCAAGGTTTTTCATTGGTTATTTCGTTTTTCATATTAAATCAATATTTTTAATAAATTAAAACCCCGTTTACACTACGCTCGATTTTTTGTACCGTACCACTTTTTTGGTTCTTGGAGACCTAAATAGGTAGTCCAATTAGAACCAGAAAAGTGGTACGGGTACCGATTTTATCCGTGCCGTACCAAAAATTGAGCGTAGTGTAAACGGGGCTTAATTCACTATATTTTTTCAAGAAATAATCAGTTTTGATGACATGCCCATAGCAATATTCGGTGCAGACTGCAGAATCCAATATTCAAGGTTTTAATTTATAACGCGGTTTTTAGATGCCGTTACTGCGATTAAATTGCATGCGCAGTCAAAAGTTTAAAAAATTATTCGTATAAAATGATTTGTATGAGTGAAATTTAATTGTATTATAATAACCAAATATAATTCATAACTATCACAACTATATCCACCAGTTACCGAATTTAATTGCATAGCCTAAATTTCTCTTTACCAGCTCGAATTAACTGCTTTGCATCGTTTAGTGTAAAAAAATACAATGCTCGGCCTCAATGCAATTTTTATATCTCAAAAGGTACAAAAATAGAAAAATTGCCCTCCTGAATGAAATGAAACTTGTTTCATTCTAATAAAAATCTTCAAAATTTTGTTATACTGACCTTAATTGCACAACCACGTTGCTTAATTGTTCCGTTATTGTCATAAATCATATGCAAATTATATAGAAATAAAATACGTGTACAACATTTGAATATTACTGGAAGATCTGATAGCTGATTCAACGAAAATATGCCACAAATTGTCAGTTTTGGTCAGGCTCAATGTGAAATATTGTAACTTTAATTTATCTATTTGGTTCCATTATTTCAGATTGCCCGACACATACGAAACAGAGTGTCCCGAAAAAAAATGCAATGCCAATAATGGCTAACATGAGCTTTTCCCATGCGGATTTTTAAACAGCGAATTATTCGTGCAGGCATCGAGAATCGAACCTAGTATAGTACTACGATATGAGTTTTATAATATTCAAAATAAAATTATTATAATCTTGATTACTTGAACGGGTTTGTGCTGGTGTAGGTATAGTGCCAATGGCAATAATAAGAAAGATTCGGGTTCACAGGGATTATACAACTACCTGAAAAATACAAGGAGAACTTAGCCACGTTTCCAGTGAAGATTTTGTGTCGGGAAGTTAGTATATATCCAACGACGAAGGGCTTTCGCTTGAAACGATGAAGTTCTCCTTGTATTTTTCAAGCTCCTATCAATCCGAATTCAGCTTTCTTAATAAAATGATTACGAAATCAATATATTTTCTTCGCCCAATTTCGTCCAGACAGTTTGCCGGTTCATCGGGGGTAATCTGTATTTCACGATTATAGACATGGTACATTGGCATCACCTTATAGTATTTATACATGCTTAGAGCTCGACAGCCGTCTCTCTCTGGCGGTAGCTCAGTTGGTTGGAGCCTGCACCGGAATCGCTGGGCCGTAGGTTCCAGGGCCTATAGCACGTGCATTTTTCGCAACTGTTCCTGAACCCTGCCTGAGGTCTAATAAATGTGCAAAAATTTCGACTTGAAATTTTAATCTAGTAGTACATATTCCCTTCAACAATGGAGATGGTTTCAGCTATAGACTAAATTTTGATCAAGACAAGAAGGACGAAATCTATCAATATATCTTAAAAGAACATCTTTAAAGGAGTAAAATTGCCAAATTTGATTGCAAAATGTTTTAAAATACGGAAAATTTAGCCTTGTGAAATTAGCACATTTTGAGTATTTTAGTATCGATATCACGCCCGAAAGTGGTGCATTTTCCGCGTGTAATACGGCTAAAATACTCAAAATTTGTTGATTTCGCAGGGCTATATTTTTCGTATTTTACAACATTTCGCATCTATTGTCGCATTGTTTGGTCACATTTTATTCCCTTCTCGTTGGGAATTACACCGGTTTATAGTTGCCTAGTTCTCGCAATAGAAAGATGGTTTGCGGTGTTTCGTCCTGTTATTTACAAACAAAAATTCGGGATGAGGATGATGCTCTATAGGAGTTTGAATCTCCTACAATCCCACGTGTGGAACTGAGGTTATCAAGATTTTAAAACCAAACTTCAGTTGCAATTTTACTAATTTTAGGATGCTCTTTTGAGCTATAATGTTAGATTTCGTCCTTCTTGCATGTCTAGATAAAAAATTAGCCGACAGCTGGAGTCATCTATTATATTTCACGATTATTCTTTAGACCTCGCTCAAATACAAGAAAATAATATATCAGTTGTATTTACGTCAAAAGAAAAGCTATATCAATGTCAATGACAATGTATCGAAATAATTCACATTGTTTAAACGCAAACACAAAACAAATTCCATTTAAATGGCCTCTCGTTGCCAAGTCACGCGGCTTTGCAACGTTGTCAAATCCCTGTCATCAATTCACTCTACATGCTCGGTATAAAAACTGCCAACTCACAAACTATCGTACACTCGCTTTTTCTCGCCGTCTGCCAAACATCCTGAAGATGGCTTCGCAAAATTTTGTTCTGAAACTAAGCGTCTTAGCGCTGGCTACGTGTGTGGCCCAAGGATTTTTCTTGGGAAGTGAAAAAGAAGGCACATTTATTCCTTTCGAAAAGCTTAAAGATCTTGGATTGTCAAGAGACCACAAAGTTTATTCTCATCTGGTTATCCCACCTTGGAGTAGACCGTTTAAACTTGGTTATTGCGAAAGTTGGGAATGGCATACCGATCCGAAATATCGTGCTCAACGATTGGCCATTTGCAAGGAACTGTCTGAAGGTTAGTATGTGAGCTTATGTTATCGCCTAACAACTTTTTATCGTGAATAGCTTTATTAGTTTGAAACTGTTCTGTCTGTAGAGATCCTGCAACTGTGTAATTGGAAACTCCTACACTTTAAAATCCAAAGTGTATATACCTTTTAATATTTATAGTGGATAGCTTTATCAGTTCTATATATCAGTAACTCTCCTCCTTAGAGATCCACTCCAGCGAAGATCATTTCTTATTGATCCAGTGTTACTACAGAAGGAAACCTAAACTGACTTTATTTATACTGGATAGTTCTATCAGTTCTAAACTGTTCTTCCTAGAGGTCCAGTAAGGATCATCTCTTATTGATCCAGTTTTACTACAGGAGGAACCTAAACGATATCTATCTTGTCTGACAACGGGCATAAACGTTATTTGATCAGCCTCAGTCAAAATGCTTGGCTGTCTTTAAATACCGATTGTGGTTATTATAATTCTACCATTTTATCTGCGTTTTTTCAGGTACCCACGAATGTGATTCTCCGACTGGATTTTGTGATGACAAATGTCCCTACACAAATGCCAGTTATCCTTTCTGGAGGTTACGTAATTCCGCTGAAGTTCAAATAGTCTGGACTGTGTCCAGTATTCAAATGTTTAGTTCGTCAAGTTCTAACAAGAATTTGATTGAAAACCCTACCAAGGCATACGCCAGCAGTTACTTTGGCCCAGGTACGTTATGTAGTTGTTGTTGATGTTGATACTGTTGTTGTTGTTGTTGTTGTTGTTGTTGTTGTTGTTGTTGTTGTTGTTGTTGTTGTACTGGTTGATGTTATTTTGTTGTTGTTGTTGTTGTTGTTGTTGTTGTTGTTGTTGTTGTTGTTGTTGTTGTTGTTGTTGTTGTTGTTGTTGTTGTACTGGTTGATGCTATTTTGTTGTTGTTGTTATTGTTGTCGCTGTCACTGTCGCAGGTGATGATGGTAGTTGTTGGGACACTGGTGGTGATGATGATGATGATACTAGTGGTCAGTAGTGATGCTGGTGACGATGATTATGCTAGTACGTACTTTTCTGATCATGTGATTAGACTGGTGATTAGACTTATTGTGATGGTCAGATATGCTAATGATGATACTGATGGTAATGATGATGATGGTGATCATGCCAATTGTGATGATGTGATTATGGTGGTTGTGATAGTATAGTGATCGTGAGTTGGTCGGCGTTGCTGATGATGGTGGTGATACTGGTGGTAATGATGATGGTGATGATGATGATGTTGTTGATACTGGTGATAATCATATATGATGATGAAGATCGATGGTCATTATGTTTGTTGTGATGATGTGATTATGCTTGTGGCGGTGGTGATTGTCAGCGATGCTGATGATGATGGCGATACTCACTGGTGATAATGATGATAATGGTAATCATGCTTGTTGTGATAATATTGTGGTAATATTGTGGTGATATTGGTTTGATGATGATGATGTTTAAATTCTTGTGCGCAAAGCTTTACTGCTTTTGTGCTTTTATCCAAGAAGATGTTTTCACGCCCAATTTCAATTCTACCACTAATTCAAGCATTACTCCTTTGCAGGCTACTACCCCAGCAATGCGTTCGACAACAACCCTGAAACAATATGGGTCTCTAATGGTCAAGCACCTCCGGGAATGCAATGGCTTGCCTTCGAATTCGACCATCCCGTCTCGATCGGCTCCATCCGTATTGCTTCGGAAATCGACAAACCCGAGCGCGCGCCGACGGAAATCTACGTCGAAGGATCGTGTGAAAAATATTTCCGCACATTCGAGACGATGTGGGTAATACGTAATCCTATGCAGAAGAGTGACATCAGGGCACATGGCGAATTGAAACGACGTGACGCCGGCAAGCCACGATTCCGACGATTCCGTTAGGGACGAACAGTAATATATTCATTTAACTTTTAAGGTGAAACTTTCCGCAGAGAACAAATACATTCAGATTTTAAAGCTTTCTTATGTGAAATTTTCTAATTTTTTTTGTGACCTATTTTAGACACGTCGAATTTCTGTCCAATTTTATTGGATATGGAAAATCAGCAATATCAAAAAGTTTCGATGGAAATTCGACGTATATTTTAACTTTTTAACCAAAACTGCTTTAGCCGAGCTGAAAAACTATATTAAAACAGTAATTTTAACTTGTGTACTATTGTTTAGTATGATTGTTAACGGCTTTTCAGCAGAAGGTATATGAAGACAGAAAACTCAGTTGATAGTTTTTACTAGTTTATACGTCGTGTAACCGTGTAAATCGTGGCTTCGACAACATCAGCATCTTGTTATTACTTCTTAAATTATATTTATCAGAATTTGAGATTTTAAACATAGTTGAAACGTTTTCAGGACATTGGTTTGAAAGGGCT